CCATCGCTGAAGTATGAAAGGCTTACCAAGAAGGAACCAAGGTCCACCAGTTAAGATAGCTTCAAGGTCTTCTGGCGAAGTAAACTTCAAAAGAAAAAATCCGTCCGCCATAGAAAGCAAGGACATGGAACCTTTTAGAGGCCATAGCTTCTGCATGGCTTTCAGAAGCCGCTCATAATAAGGTCTAGGACCCAGGGAATACCCAATAAGAGCATTATCCCAGATAGTCTTACCCTCGGATAGATCATTGACGTTAAAAGAGAGCTTTTTTTGGCCAGGAGCAAAGAAGGAGACCGGAAAGACATTGGTTTTGGGAGGGGGAGCTGAAACGTTAGCAGCATAGGAGGCACCAGTGGGAGGATTACCAAGGACAGAAGTGGTAGTAAGAGGAGGGAAATTATGTGGCGCGAGAGCCATCACAGGTGAAAGGGAGAGGCCCTCCCACAGAGGGAGGGAGGAAGCACAAAGCGGCGGCGGAGCTCAAAACCCTAGCGGAGCTCAAACCCTAGCGGAGCCCAAAAGGATCATCGTTCCCACCTCATTTCAATCCCTGTTCCGGAAGTTCAATATTATTTATTTTTTATTCTTTAATTCATTAATATTTCTTAATTGTAAATCACTAAATCCCTGTTCCGAAAATATGACCCGGAAGTTCAATATTATTTATTTTTTATTCTTTAATTCATTAATATTTTTTAATTGTAAATCACTAAATCCCCCTTATTTATTTTAATTTTATTATTTTATTCTAAATTTTATCAAATAGATATTTATGACTTTATTTTCTCCTCGTATAAAAGCTATGAGTTATAGCCTATATTCATCCATTTCAATCATCTTTAACTTTAACTCTTCTTTTAATTTAATTATTGCATGAAAAGATGCTTATTATTTTTTATAATATCATAAGGTGATAATTAAATTGAGTGAGTTTAGTAGATATCTAGTATTAATCAAATTTAATTCTGTAGTAATTATATGCTTCAAAAAAGTAATCATATTATTTAAAAACTTATTAGAATGATAAGTGATATATCATCAAAAAAATTATCTTGATCGGGCATGAATCTCGAGGAAAATTTGAATTGGAAATTTCAAAAATTAATACCATGACCAGTCAAATTGTGATTTTTGTGAACTAATAGTCGAATTGAATATCTCGAAAAGATGAATCCAACAACACTAAATTTGATCCAATATGAGCCCAAATTTGACCAAATCGTAGGTTTGAAGCACATTTAAAATCTTCAAAGCATAAATTAGACAACCAAATGATTTCTAAATGTGGCATGCTTATAGTTGAATTGAGCGACTCAACGAGACGAATCCAACGAGCTTAATATCTCTGAATGCTAATAAAATTAAAACACTCAAATGCGTAATAAATAATCTATAATCAAGAGAATCAGTATATATCGTCCATCTGAAATACACTCAATCTACCCTTGATCTTCTCACTATTTACTACCCATGCATCTCTCAAAAAATTATAAATATACTCTCTATTCTTCAAAAAGAAAAAGAAAGGAAGGAAGAGAAAAGAAGAAGAAAGAGAAAACTAAAATCTCTCTTGTCATCAAGTTCCACTTCGACTACCATCAGACCACTGACCGTCGTCGAACCACCGATCGTCGTCTGACCTCTGCCCAGCCAACACCTATCTTCAGACTTCTGCTCGGCCACTGATTGTCATTGGACTTTACCCGACCATTGAACATCCCCTAACTTCTGTCTGGCCACCAATCGTCACCGAACTTCTGTTCGGCCACTAACCAAAGTCGAGCTTACACCCATCCACCAGCCATCGTCGAACTTTTGCCAGGCCTCTAGCCATCATCGAACTTCTCACCGCCGCCACCGACCATCGTCTGACTTCCACTCGACCACCGATCAACACTGGAATTCCGCTCTGCCACAGATCGTCATCGGACTTCCACCCATCCATCAACCGTAATCGGACCTCTGCCCGATCACCATTCATTGCTAGTTATCCACCCAACTCTCCATGTTATTATAATTTCACCATCTTTGAATTACAAAATGGATAAAGCTTTTAAACTTATTCAAATAGTATTAGAATCATTTGAATGGGGCCAGACCTCGTATTTTTTTTCCTTTTCAAAGATTTTCCATGTAAAAACCCTCGTGTTTTTCGTTTCACTGTTTGTATGCTAGATATCCATACAATGCTAAGACAAAAAATTTCTCACTCTATTATCAAGCATACTCTAGCAGCAACAATAAAATAAAAGGATTACATGATTATTAACTAATTATTTAAAAAATATATGATAAAAAATAAATTAAGCTAATATAGTAAATTCTAAGATCTTTGAGCAATTATTTTTTCATATTATTTTGTTTATTATTTTAAATTTATTATATTATTTCTAGAATAAAATATATAATTATTTTTATTAGTTAATAATAAAAAAGTAAATGAAAACATGCGTAATCGATATTCTGTGTGAAATATTATTGAGAGAAATTAATATGCTTATAATAAATGCATTCACTTATAAATAGTAATATATTTATAATTATTTTATAATTTATTGAGAATATTTTGCCTTAAAATTATTTTTAATTTTGTGCCTTTACATTTACTTATTATTTTTACTTGTTCAACGGTCAAGATCTTTAAGGAGTTTACTGCAGGAGGGCCTAGTCACAGTGTCAGACGAGTCAGACTGAAGACGATAGTGGTGTTTCGCTTTGTTACTGGAAAGCTACGGTTAGCATGCTTCGCGGTGACAAATGTGTAGTCACCTATCTATCTGATTTAGTTTGGTTGGTGGATGGGTATAATTAGGAACCCCGGACTCATATTCAAAATCCCTCCCAAGTTGCTAGCCTCCTTTGAAGGAAAATTATTGCATCCCGTGAACCGTCCGGACACTAATCCAAAAGCTCAACGTCACCCAGATACACACCCGGGCCCAGTGTATTTGGGTGACGTGGTACATCTGAATTAGTGTCCGGACGATCCAATCACCGGACGTAATAATTACTCCCTTTGCAGGGAGCATCAAAGCGTGGCCTGATGCCTGTTGGTTGGCTCCGCTAGGTTCCGCTAAGAGATTGGTTACGCCGTCATGTGCCACTTAAGAGGTGGCAGTGGGTAGATACTCTGTTCCAAAAAAAAATTGTGCGGTCAATATTTAATATTTTTATCACAAAAAATTTGTGCGGGGAGTTCTAATTGATTTTCTATCAGGATAATTTAAGAGTTATGATAGAAATACAATTTTAAAAGTTTAATTTCTATATTTAATAACTCTATATTAAAATAGTTTTTTATAATTGTTTTGAAGAAAAAAAGATTACAATTTTAACACAGTTTTATTATATTTAAAATATGTATTTCTAAATGTTTTATTTTGAAGTAAAACTTAAAAAAATCTTCACGAGAATTTAATAAATAAATAGGATATAATATATATTTATGAAATGATAGAAATTTATAAAATAATAATTTTTTCTAAATATTAGACTAATGGCGTATATAAAAATGCTCCTGGCGAAAACTTATAAGAACATCCTAAAATCAAAATTCTTCTATTTTATTATTGAAATATGCATTGTTATATAGTGTAGTCAATGGCGCAGCTTCGAAGTAACAGCAGTTGATCACACTGTATAAGTTTGGCCTTTTTTTTAATGCCGGACTCGAATCAATTAAATTTTTTTTTTCTGAAGATTATTTTAATGCCCAGAAATTGACCAAAAGAAATATCAATATTTCACATGAAAAACTCAAAAGAGACAGAGATTATGGGGCCTAGTCAAGCTGAAATAATTACATTAGTGT